AACTTCAAATGCTTAGATTTGGTGATATATCTAAATTAAATAAATTTGTATACAATTTTTCAATAAAAAATATTGTGCCTTCATCAAATAAACTATCATCACTGCTACTTAAATATTCTTCGCTTGTACAACTTTCTTCTTCAGTAAAACTTTCTTCGCTGTCACTCATCTTTAATACAAAATATACACAAACAATATACCAAAAGATAGAAAAAAATGTGCTCTATTCAATGGTACCATTTTTAAATTATGAACAGCGGTATTTCGGTAGAAAAAGTCATAGTTCTGATGAACACTTTTAAAGCCACGATCGTGGCTCTACGTGCTCTGACGGTATAGCCACGATCGTGGCTCCCCGTGCTCAAAGGGTTAACCGTTGAAATAATGTTTACGTTTTTACTTCCATTTCTGCGCGCGCATAAATTTTATATCGTATTTTTTGTCAACAATGATTGAAATAATGACGTTGAAATAACGTTAAATAATCAACGTTTAAACTGTAACGTTGATTTAACGTTGAAATAACGTTAAATAATCAACGTTTAAACGGTAACGTTGATTTAACGTTGTGACATAGTTGAACAACGTTGAAACAACGCTTCAACCGAATTTCAACGTTGAAACAACGTAATAATGCCGGCTGGGTTTGCTTTTTTTCAATTTTTTTAAAAGTTATATTAAGTTTTTAAGTTTTTTTGTATAAGAAAAAAGGATTTGTTTATTAATTTATTTTAAAACACGAAACTTGTAACTTGCAAAGTAAGTGGTTTAGATCAAGAGTTTGAAAATCTTTAAAAACAATTAAAGAGTAAGCATACGCTATTAGACTTAAATTTACTAATGTTTAAACTAAGTTACGCGATTTACTCAGTGGCACGTATTGAAGCAACGTTGAATTGTAGAGGTAGGTAAAAGCAGGCTTGTAGTCTAAAAGCGTCGCTATCTAGAATAGGTCTGTAATTATCCGTGATCTTATTTAGGCAATAAATTTCGTTTTAAAAAAGATGTGACCTTTTTTAGAAATAATGATGTTTTTATGAACAACAATTTTTACCAACAGAGTTTTGAAAATCTGGAAAGAAAGAGCTTATCATTCATTCTTATTGCTGCAACCTTTGGTATATTTGTTTTATTTTTTAGTAAAAATTGCTAGATTGAAATATCAATTTACCAATGCTACACAAGTTATTTTTGCCTGTCAATGATACGCAACTGTTTTGTTGTTTACATATTCAGGACGATACGGGGATGGCAAAAAGTAACAAAATTTACATAATGACTGTTTATTTGCATAGTTTTATATTCCATAAAATAGTAGTGTTATCATTCTTATTCGAAAAAAATAATTACATCTTATCTAATCATAAACATGAAAAATATTTTTAATTTTTGTACGTGGAAGCACTTTAACTGTTTTTTTTTGATTTTATACCTTGGTGAGCGTTTGCCTTGGTGAGCGTTTGCCTTGGTGAGCGTTATTCGTAGAGTAAAAAAATCAGTGATGAATTAAGATCAATTAAAGTTGAGCTTAAACTCAAAAACCTTTAATTTCTAATTATGGGCTAAATTTTAATTTAATAATCTAAAGTTGATGTAAACTTTATCAAACCCGATGCTTCTTAGATTTTAATTAAACGATTAATAAAATGCTGTTTCTTTTGTTTTATCCATGAAATTAAGGACTTTATAGTTTTTAATATTGCAAAAAATATCCAAAAATAAAAACTAACTGAAAATTGAACCTTGTGATCTTATTTAAGGGGTAACCTAGCAACCTTATTTAAGAGGTAAATGGTAAATAAAAGTAGACTTTATACACATTTCTAAAGTACTTAATACATTATCGGAATATTGTTAACTTAAAAAAATAAGTTTTATTAATTTTTTTTTTTCTAAATTATCCCAGTAATTGATTTGTTTCATAACTATCATTTGGTTTCGAAGAAAATATAAAACAAAAGATCTTTCAAAATATTTTAAAAAAAAAAGATTAAAATATAAAATTATTTAAATGACATATGCTATTTGACCATAAAAAAATTTGTGACGAGTTTTTTGACATTTTAACATTTTTTTCAATAGAAAAAAAAAAAGAAAAAAAAAAGCATAACATGTGTTTACAATCCTTCAAATAATTTGACGTGAAGTTTAGAAAACCATAACCTCTAAATTAACAAAACGCTTCTGTTGTTGACAACTAAGTTGTATTTGTTGAGCTTTAGCAATTTGTTGAACTTGAGCAATAATACTAAAATTAGCTAAATAAATGAGTATTAAATTGAACATAAATTTTTATTATGTTTCTGGACTGATATTTTTTATATATTTTTTAAACATCTGATATGATGAGGTTTCTACATAACTTCGATGAATAGAGCAATATGAGCACCTTGGTAAAATGAGCATACGAAAATATTTCTAAGATGTAAGCAGTGAAATTAAAGTTGCTTTGTATTTTTTGAACCGACTTTAGGTGGTGATAACATAAACCAGTATATTTACCGTAAATTTGTATGCAGTAATAAGCGGCTCTCGGCTAATTAAAACACTATTAAAATCTGTGCGTTGTAAAAATATTATCATCACGCATGAATATATCTTTGGCGCGATACTTTTATGCTAAAATAAAGAAATTAAATTTTTTATAAAGAAAAATATGCTAGCTAGAAATTCGTTTCAATTTTGTATGGAAATGCATAGAAACATTTATTTTTGACTTTTTTAAAGATACCATTTGTGTGTAATATGAGCATGCTCAAATTACCCAGTGTTTTTTATTAAGATCACCGAGTTTAAAGTCCTAAAATTGCAATGGTTTTAATTGTTTTTTGAATAAAACAAAACATTAAAAATTTTAAAATTTAATATTTTAACAATACTAAATATCTTTCTGTGATTTAAACTCAAAAAAATTGTAGTTTTATCGTTTAAAGATTTGAGTTGATAAAATTGAAAAAATAACAAACTAATTTTTTTTTTATATATGCGTAAAACATAGTAGTATTGTTTCAATAAAAAATGGTTTAAAATTTAATATTTGAATGATAAGCTGTGTTAGTAACAAATCATTATATTCCATAAATTGGTAATTTTTAACTTATTTAATGTTATTTTTTTGAGCTAATTTAAAGTGCTCATATTACCAAGTGGTCTAGGTAATATGAACACTTTTCTTACTTTTTTAAAAGCTTAGTGTTTTTAAGAAAAAATCTCGGGTGCCCTAATATCTAATTGGATTATGAGTAGTGATCCTTAAAATTTTTTTTATTCGCGAAAATTTTGGATTCAGTATTATTATTTTGAAAAATTTTCCAATTTTTGCTTGCTCATAATACCCTAACCTACCCTATATCTTGCTCATAATACCCTAACCTACCCTATACCTAAAAATGTTTTATTGCTATTCTTTATATTTAAATATTAACAAATAATGAAAGAGAGATTAACAGAAATTACTTTTTTTGGATTTTTTTTGTCAACTGAATACGTTGCCAATCTTTTTAAGATAGTAAATGAACTTGCTTGCATGCTTCAATGATTTAGCTTGCTTGCTTATTGTGAGAAAACAGAATTGTTGCATAATACTAGGTATAAACTTTATATAAACAAAATGTCACAAAACTTTATTTTGCAACATTTTGTGACTAATTTTGTTTCAAATGTTCATTACTTTATTTTAATCTGGCCCCTCTCATTGTTTTTAGGCGAGGATCTAAAATATTTTAAAGCCGGGACAAATATCAAATTAAATATATTCTGAAATAAGGTTGTAAAATTTCAAGAACTTTTCACAAAAAAAAAATTAATATAACATACAAATATTTAATACTATAAAAATATCAAAAACAATAATAAAAATAACAATAGAAATAATATAACAATACCATCACTACTAGCACCATCACAACAACAAATAATAACAACAATAGTTGCAACAGCAACAACAACAACGACGACGACAACAACAACAATTACAATAATAGTAATAACAATGTTAATTAGAAGTAATATTAATATGTTAAAACTAGTAACAAGACTTTTAGATATTTTGGAAAAGACATAACCATAAGAGGCTTTAAAGCTAAAGCTGAACGATAATGATGCGCTTACACCGTTTCGTATTTATCTGACGCAAATATTTTAGTTGATAATGAAAACATTTAACTTAGTTTTAAAATAAATAAAAATAACTTGTACCAATTAAAAAGTATTAATATCAGTCTTATAGTAAAACACAACTCGTGAAGCGTCAAAACTAGTTTTTTTGCTGTATAAATTTAAAATTTAAATTTTGCTGTAACGCTTTCATAATTTCAAAATTAAAACACTAAAAAGATAAATAATTTATTTTTAAATCTCAGCATATTGGTATTAACATTGTTTTTTATTAATACTTTACCCCTCATCCCTCTTCAATATTTTTAAAAAACCACGCATACAATTAGGTTTTAAAATATACATTAACTTTAAAATATTAAATTTGATATTGTAATCGGTCGTACTTCGGTCTGAGTACGTAGGTTGTCGCGCTTTAGTTAGTCAGATTTTAAATAATTTACATAATATAATCGGTGTATTGTGACGTTTTAGATCCGTTTAAAGAAAATATTTCGGATTTCACGTTTGTTGAATTCAATTAGTAACTTTGAATTGTGAATGGAAATTCGTGAATCACTTCGAAACTACAAATAAATTAAAAAAAAGTGTAGGTTAATCCATTTGTTTTCAGTTAAAAAAATGTTTATATATATTTTTCTGAATATATGTAAATATTTATGCGCGCGCGCACACACACACACACACACACACACACACACACACACACACACACACACACACACACACACACACACACACACACACATACACACACACACACACACACACACACACACACACACACACACACACACACACACACACACACACACATACACACAACACAATCTATGTACACTTTACGAACATGAATAAAATCATTTTTTATATTTTCTTTTTAGATAAAATTAAAAAAAAAAAAAAATGGTTTCTCTTTGGTTCAAATTATATTTTTTAATATTGTTTTTGTTTGGGTCAAATAATGGTTTTACGCTGTCAAGTATATTATGGGATCCAAGTAATCCAATGTAAGTTTTATCAGCTGACTTTCATGTCTGAAAAAATATTGATTTGTCCTTTTTTAACAATTTAGAAAAGATACACATAAAAATTTTAAATTGTCTAAATATATTTCTATTATTAGAAATAAATTTTTATAGGTTGGTATATATTATTGAAAAGAGCTTTAAAAAAATATTATAAAATTGATAATTTTATCCAAATTGGATGATTCTTCTTAAAATTTTATAAAAAAGATACCAAGTTATAACTTGATATATTTTGATACCAAATTATTGGTACTTTTATAAATTGGTTACAGTTTTGTTAAGAAATTGTAATAAATTTTTCAAGAAGAATTATCTAATTTGGATATGATATAGATAGTGATTTTTACCATCAAAAAATAATATAATAATTTTACCGGCATAAAATAATTATATAATTATGTTTATTGTGCTTTTGTCATTTTAGACTTTAAAGGAATATTTATTTTTAAACATTAAGGAATATTTATTGGCTTCAGTACATCAACTATTTTATAGCCTGCTGCTGCAAGGGAGGGTTTGTCGACTGAGAGTTTGCTAAACTGCAGGTTTACCTACAAAGTTATATTTTACTCCAGTTCACAAGCAAATTTTAGGGGCTGTTCATAAATTATGTCAATAATTGTTTTCAAAGGGAAGGGAGGCAAAAATTGCCAATAATTTGTTAACATCATTAATGGACAGCTTCTTACAGGTGTATTTTAGAAAAAGGTGTGTGTGGTGGATAATAGTATACAGCACACCTTAGCATCAAAGTTTTTCATTCTTATAAACATTTTTATCAATGTTAAAATGAGTGAAATTAATATAAAAAATTAAAATAATACTTTATTAAGATACAACATATGATAATGGCGTGTATCATTAATGGATTGGGTACATACAGCGTTCTCTCCCTCCTCCCCTCCCCTCCCCCTATAAAAAAAAAACTTGGAAAGGTGTTCTACAAACTGTGTATATGACTCTGGTAATCAAAAGCTGTAGTAGCATCAAAGCCCGACATTAGATTTTTTATTGCAATTACTATTTCAGCAGTTACTATTTCAGCAAATACTATTTCAGCAGCCAAGCTCACATCATCTGCTTTCCAGTTGTACGATGTAGAAATTCTTTTTCCATAGGATAGTCAGTATACTCTCCAACTAAGGGAGCAGTGATGGCACACTGTGTTTAGGCATATTACAAACAAGGATGTCATATATAAATGCCCTAATATCAGTTGATTTCATTTTCCATAGGATAGTCAGTATACTCTCCGATTAATAGAGCAGTGATGGCACACTGTGTTTAAGCACATTAAAAACAAGGATGTCATATATAAATGCTCTAATATCAGTTGAGTAGACTTATCATATCTGGTATTCTGCTCATTGTTCCATATATGCTCAATTTCCTCCTATAAAATAAGCAATTTGTTTTGAAGAGTTCAAATTACAGCATTTCTATCAGATATTTGATTGTGCAAAATGTTAACTTGATAAGTAAGCTCTGTCTCGCTAAGTGCTTTTTCAATCAAAGATTCTGATTTTTAAGATTTTTCACATGTAAATTAAAATTCTGTTTATTCAACTTATTTCAAGTTAAATAAACAGAATTTTTTTTGTTGCCAGATTGTCTCTTTGTCAGCAATAGTTTGATTTACATGTCTAAACCTTTTCTCTTCTACTATTTTTTATCCTTTGCTGTTTTTGTAGAAAATTCATTTTAACCATGAAGGCATGGTTCACATGAAGGATTATTTTAACACATTTAATAATATTATTTCTCTATATTATAATAAAGTTATATAAACAATAACAATTATATAATATATATAGTATTAATACTAGTTACTAGTGCAGGCCTTGTCATGAAATTGCCTTGTTTAACAAATGTAACTTTAACACAGCTTATATATTTGCATCATTAAAAGTTGAATTGCGCCATTAGTGTATGATAAAGTATGTTGTAATTAAACTTAATTTTAAATGACATTAAAAATTATTTAAACTAATATAACATAAATTACTAATTAAATCTAAATTTGGTATTTGAAATAAATTATATTTCCCTATTATTTATTTCTTAAAATAATTTTATACTTAACATAGTCTTTTGTTTATTTATCAGTTTCTTTTTTTTTTTTTTTTTTTTTTTTACATATTTAATCAAATATTTTTAATAAAGGTTATAAACCATTTATAGATATATTTTATTAGTTACCATTAAGATATTCCTAAACATAATTAATGTTCATAAATAAATTATGTTAAAAGAACTTGGATATTGAGTTAATGAGAAACAAATTTTAAATTCATTTATAAAAAGACTTCTCTTCAACAAATTCACTTCTCTCTTTTTTAAAAGAAAAAAATTTTTTTTTTCTTACATATTTTCTAAATATAAAATCTATGATGAAGAGACTCATGTTTTATGTAGTTAATTAGTTACCAGGTGACATTAAAAACTAAATTTTACATTCTTCATTTTAGCAACTAATTTACACCCCTTCAAAACTAAATTTAAATTTTTAATTTATAAAGTCATATTTACTTTAAAGTCTTTTAATAACAAAAAATTTATATAAAATAATAGTTTCTTAAAAAAAATTTTCACAGTTGCAGTTAAATGCTTTTTTTTACGACCTAATATTTTCTGAACAAACAATATTTAAAGTTAATTTGAATATTCCAAAATAAAAAAAGCAAAATAAGATAATTCCTTGTTAATTGTATTTTATTAATAATAAGTAATGCTAATATACAATAAAAATAGTTTCATAATTTGAAACATTAATCAAAAATACAACTTAAAGAGTAACTAAAAATTATATATCTTCAACACATCTTCAAAAGATTATTAAAAGAATTCCACATTTTGTTTATTGAAAATTGTGAATTAATAAATACTTTTTGCACCAATTAGAATTTTTAAAACTACCTTTTTATCACCAGAAATAAAAATATTCAAGCACAGTGTAACAAGGTTAGAAATTAATCATTTGATAGAAATACCAAGGGTTCTTGGGATAATCAATTTGGGAATCAATAGATTTACTTGAAGTTTGTAACAATATTGGATCTAAAATCTCTTAAATTATTTTAAAATCTTTTAAAGTTTAATAAAAATCGTAGCTTAGGTGACTAGTCACCTGAGCTACAAAACATTAAATTTTTAAATGCCACTCATGTACAGCAACATGTATAGCAAAATTTTTAGTTGTTCAATGTTTTTTTCTGCTTAAATTTAGAATGGCAAAAAAAGTAGGGAAATGTATATCTACAGTATATATCAACCCTTGGAATTAGAAAAAATGAGGTAATAAAAACTCAATCTTTTTATAGTCAGCAAAAATTATTTGATACAAAGGTCTGACCATAAAACACAGAAACGAGGTCACCAATTTTTTGCCAACCTCAAACACTTTTAGGATCGGCCTAATGCCGACCCTAATTCTGAGGGTTGATATATATATATATATATATATATATATATATATATATATATATATATATATATATATATATATATATATATATATATATATATATAAACAGCCTTGTCCAGGAAGGTGTGTGATTTCCTGTCATAATACGACCACGCAAAAACTTTGTGATTTTGAAAACTTGACCACGGTTGTTAATATGTTTTGAAAGTTTGTATACATTTTAAAAATGCGCTAAAAAAATTATCCGAACTATAAACAGTAAAAAACCCAGAGTTTATTTGGGTGTACTACTTTTTTTTTGGCAACTTTGGTAGGGGATGGGGGTTGTTAATGTTTTTGAGTCCCCTCCCCTCTCCCCCTCCTCCTCCCCTAGTTAAAACCGGTGCCGCGACAATGATTTTTAATCATCATTTTTTTAATTATCATTTTTAACATTTGTGTTTATCTTATGTAGGGTTATCTTAAGATAAAGAGTTGATTTTGGCAATCATTAAAGGCATTTTTTGAATACATAAGTTTACCGGTGGACAGTGTTACTTTAGTTACAATAAGAAAACTATTTTACTTAAGACTTTAATAAAGGCTTTTGTTGCAAATACCATGCTATTAGTAAATAATTATGTTAAACATTTATTAGCTATATTTTAGTAAATTTAATTTTTGTAGTTATTGTTTTAAGTAATTAGTAATTAAATGTTTAAACAACTTTTGATTAATATTATACATTATATAATATATTTACATATATTAAATCGTGTAATATTTGTAAAATTACCAAAATAGTTTAACGTCTTGTATTCGAATAACTATTTGAATAAAAAACATAAGTATTTAATAAACGTGTTTACTATTATTTTAATTTTTAAATTTTGATTTAAATATTAGCAAATCTGTTCATTTAACTTTTACTAAAGTTTAATAATTTTTAAATTGATTTTAAGGTGCCTTTTAGACTAAAGATAAAAATGTTATATTTTTTTGGTTAAAAAACATGGCCTACTTTATAGAAGGCCTCGACACCGTGCGGGAATTTTTTTGACTGAAGGCCGATTTAAAAATAAAATAGCGGTTTATTAAAAGAGAAAAATGCTGTACAGCTTTGCTAACACTAATTATTTAATAACTAATTATTCTATTTGAAAAAATTTTAGATGCATTTTTATAAAATGAGTTTCTTGACGTTAATTTGGCAACTATTTTATAAGCTTAAATAGTTTGTAAAATTGAATAGAAACATTTTGAATCAAATTTTTGAATATACAAGAAATAATAATCAGAAAAATACACCAATAACATATCTAATTTTTTTTGTACTAAATCTTCCCAAAAAAAAATTACATGAGCTTGATTTCTTTTAGTTTTGCTTCTTTATTACTTTTGGGAGTGTGAAGTAATACAAAGTTCTTTAAAAAAATGTTTGCTAGTGTTTGGCATTGTTTCTTTGCAATAGAAAAACTATACAACTCTGCAATAAAAGCAAACTGTTTTATCAGAAATGTTCTGCAAACTTTTTTATCTAGTAAAGAAAAAAATATGTAACAAAATAAAGACCACTGAGATAGAGTATCAGATGGAATAGTTAATCCTCCCCTATTTAAAGTATTCAAATAAGTTCCATATTTTTCATAATATGTAGTTGTATCTTCACCAATTTCTTCAGTAGAACACTTTTGAACATAACCAGCAATATAGACAATAGCATAAAAAATTTCTATACTTATACTATCTTCTAGATCTGGTAAATTGTAAATTAAATCATTTTCCATATCATCTAAATCTTAAAGACATAAAAGACAGTCATGGCCATCATTTCCTTCTACTTCGATATTCAGATGTAGCACCAGCTTAGCATGTTGAATATGTACTTTTTCGATAACTGATTTAGCAGTTATAAAGTAAGTACCACCAAAACCTTGCCATAGTTTTCCGAAACATTTCTCAATTGGATCACTAGAAAACCAACCTAAAATAACATACTCATTTCCACTTGATAAAAGATGACAAGACAAATCAATTAGTCCACGACAAGTGTGTGAGAGTGCATTGCTTGTATCTCTCGTAAGCTGGCGAATTCGTTTACCAGATGTTGGTTTCATATATTCTGCGATTACCAGATGTTGGTTTCATATATTCTGCGATATTGCAATAGCAAGTGACTTTTTTAAATTAATGTCATCTGAAGATCTGATTACATTACGTGACTCATCCCTAAATCTAGCATTGGCACCTGGGCATTTAACATTCACTATTTTCCAAAATTCTATAATCAACTCCAAAAAAATAATAGTACCCTTGACACTTTCTTGGTCTATTTTAGGATGAGTTTTTAGAGCTGCAACTGTCTCTTCACTAAATACTTGTAAACAAGTGCTTACTTTTTGCCGTTCTATTGGTTTAGGATTTATTGATGTTTCAGTCAATCTGGATAACTTTATTAATTGGTTTTTTTTCAAGTGTATATAAGTTAACTAAATCTCTCCAATTTGCAATGTAAGTTATCTCATTTTGAGTAAACTGTAACGGACCTAGTTTTTCTGTCAGCCAATTGTTTCTTATGCACTTTAAAAGATGGACATAGTCATATAAAATATAAGAGCCATTTTGACATAACCAAGGTTTTCCGTCTACGGTTTTGAATTTAGAAAAAAAGCTTTGATTAACTTTATTTCCATCTGTAATAATTGCAATAACTTTACCATTACTCATAGAACTTTCTATGGTTTCTACAATTAATTTGCACTGTTCTTGTTGGAAATCTGATGTCAGATTACTAACTGGTAAAACTCTTGCTAGAAATTCAGGTCCACCATAAAGGCTTTTTACCATGAATGAAAGTACAGTAGTAGCTAATTTCTCTGGATTATTAACAGCTTTTCCAAAAATACTTCCATTTTGATATAATAATGCTGCTTTTACATAAACTTCATCTATCAATAAAACACAATTTCTTTTTTTTTATCAAGGTTCGATAACACAGAACTTAAAAAAGTTAAATCATCTTGAGAGTTTATTTTTAAAGTTATGCGTGTCAAAGTTCGAATACTTGGCAACTGATAATCATAACATAATCAATGGTAAGTGGAACGACTTGTTGCAAAATATTCAAAGCTCTGGTTATTATATCTGGAGAATACACAGCACAGCCAACAGTATGATCTCCCATTACATTTAAATGCTCAAACATTACTTAAGTTTTATGATCCTTATCTTCAACTTTCAGATTTTTAAGGGCTTCATTCAAAGATGACTTTGTATAAAGGGAAGTGATTCAGTTATTTGCCAGAGATTTAATAGTACATTTTGAACCAAAATGAAATGCTTCAAACGACAAACTTTGATTAATTATTAGCAAAAATAGTGGAACACCACAATTAAATATTTTAGATTAGATGAAAATTGAATTATTTTGCTTGTATGAAATCAAATCATTATAAGTTGATAAGTGTTTTTCGATTTCTTCAAAATTTAAATTATCAATTATTTTATATTCTTTTAATTCATCTTTTCTGATACCTCTTTTTGAAGAAGATAAAGTCTTTCTCGTTTTAGGTAGTGGAGAAGATAGACAACTTTTAGATATATTTGGAAACACTGATGGGTCTCAATTTACCATGACATAATTTAAATTCTGCATCATCTGGCCAATGCAATTTACAAACAACGGTGTATTTTGTTACGGTCCAAATTTTCTGAAAAAACGTAACTAATATTTTACTCCTTTTCCAACCAAAAAATGCGTTTGTTTGTCAGTTTTAAATCGGCCTTCAGTCAAAAAAATTCCCGCACGATGTCGAGGCCTTCTATAAAGTAGGCCATGTTAAAAAACATTAATTTTAAAAATTTATTATATATTTTTAATCAATAAATATAATTACAAAAATTACGTTTAATAAATAAGTTACATTTTCTATGGGATATTTTAAACAGATCTTAATAAAACTTTTATTAAGTTATTTTTTAAAACTTTTATCAAGTTAATTTTATTATTCAAGTCAAAAAGAATATGGAAAAAGTTTACACTTCATTTTTTCATTTTCCTCATGTAAACTAAAATAGCAAGTTAAGATCAAAAGTTCATTCATTTAAAAATTATATTTGCGTGATTTTTTACTATTGTTCATGTATTAATGAAAGCAGTTTACTCATAGTTGCCAAAAAACAAAAGTTAACTTTACTCTGAATTGGTCTTTTAAAATTTCTCTATCTTTCGAAATAGCAAATTTTTTATACATTCCATTGTTATAAAATTTTGCAACAGATTTTTAAAATTAAGTTTATAACAACATTCATTTTTTTAAAACTAATATTCAGTTAGTAACCAAAGGACAGTTACGTATTATGTAAAAAAGCAACTTCTTTTTAATTTATTTTATTGACCTGAAGAAAAAATGAGGTAGCCAAAAATAACTGAAAATTATTTATATACTACTGCATTTAAAAATGAATTTTTTAAATTATTTTTAATTAAAAAGCAAAAAAAAAAATTTTTTTTAATTTAAATGATTTTTGGGTGCTTTTTTTTTGGCGCCCATACCGCTACAGCGGTATTAAAACAGGTCTGGGTTTATCTCTGATAAAGAAGCTTATAAAATAATTCTTTGTAAAAGAAATAACAAAAAATAAAATAAAAATAGCTTAACTACAACTAAATAAAAAAAAATTAAACTAAAACTTAACTAAAATAAATAATAAACTATAATGACATGATAGATAATCTTATCGTTTTGGATTTAAAAAATTACGATTGGAATAAATAACTTTGAACCGTTTATTTTTACTAATGTTTTTATAATTTAATATTATGCGAAAAACTATTTAAATAAAGTAACAATTTACAACTAACGTTTAACAAATGCGCACATTTAGAAGTTAAAAAAAAGATTCTTAGCAACGCTTTGCAGTAATGTAAACAAAACAAAAAAATTATTAAATAGTTTATTTAATTATTTATAGACATTTATAATAAAATATACAAACTTATATAAATATATACAAATATAATACAAATATATTATTCATTAATATTTTTGTAAAAAATCATAAGCAGTGATTTGTTACTTTATTTAAATACGTTTTAATGATATAAAAACATAAGAAAAGACTAAAGTTATTTAATTCAAATGGCTTTCAAAAAGTTTGTCTTTTTTTTTCTTCCTAACAAAATATTTCTACTTTTTGAGTTAATCAACTTTAATGATTCTTATATAAAGGTTTTTAAAGAGACTGTCGCTGTTTAAAGTCATCGCTTATAAAATTAAATTTTTTTTTTTAATAATTTTTACTTTTTTAAATTTTCTTATTAAAAAATCTGATATAATTAAATAATATAAATAAAAATCTATACAACTTTAAATGATACTTTAACTAAAATCATTAACTACTTTATTTAAAAGCGTTTTGCTAATAAAAAACATTAGTAAAGATAAACGTGTCAAAGTTATTTATTTTCAATGTAATTAAAAACCAATTTTCTCTGCGCATTTGTTAAAAACCTTAAGTAAGTTGTCAAAACAAAATATTATTTGCGTGGTTATATAAAGACTTGGAATTGCACGCCTTCCTGGCCAAGCCTATATATATATATATATATATATATATATATATATATATATATATATATATATATATATATATATATATATATATATATATATATATATATATATATATATATATATTTATGTATGTATGTATGTATGTATGTATGTATGTATGTATGTATGTATGTATGTATGTATGTATGTATGTATGTATGTATGTATGTATGTATGTATGTATGTATGTATGTATGTATGTATGTAAGTATGTATGTAAGTATGTATGTATGTATGTATGTATGTATGTATGTATATAAATGCAGGGGCTATTCTGGGGAAAAAATTTGGGTGGCAGTACCCTTGGACCGGCATTTGCTGTAAAAATATTTTTATTAAAATATGCAATATTTGCAGAAAAAATGTAAAAAAACTAAAGTTGTTTGTAAAAAAGAAAAGAAGGCCCTCAATTTTGAATTTGGGCAGCACCTAAATTGGCGCCCAAATATTAAGGTTAATTATTGCATAATTTAAAAAGTTAAATATTGCATAAGAACATCTTTCATTAAAAAAAAACAAACATTTAATAGAATTTTATTTATAACAGCTTCTTAAAATATTAATCTTTATGTAATCATCCATTAGAATTAGTAATAAATAGTACAATTTATTATTTATAATTATTATTTGTGTTACATTATATGTTGTTATTTGTATCTACCTTTTTATGTTTATTTATTTATATGTTCAGCTTTAATGCAGCAAAATGCAGTAAAGACTCAACTAAGTTTTGTGCAATAATGTATGATGAAATAAATTTACTTTGTGGTAATCAATACCTTAATACATATCCTATTGCTTATATGTCAAAAAATTTCTTCTACAATGTTTACTCGACTACAAACATCACAGAGTTTGAAAACCGAGATGCTACTAATTTAGAGCCACTTCATAAATGCCACCCAAAGTGGGATGTTAAAGAAGAGAAGTTGTATTTTGATCATTTTAAATATATTTTCAAACAGAATGTTGGACAAACTGTTTATTTTTTTAGTAAGTTATTTATTGTTAAATTTAATCAAAAATTGTTTATAAGAGTTTCTATTTAATTTATTTTGTTTGTTTTCTGATCATTTAAAAATATATATATTTACTTTAATGTTTGTATTTCTTATAGTATAATATTTATTATTATTTAAAGTTATCTGTTTTAATTACTGGAACCAACTTTACTTAGGGATCGCATCATTTAATATTATCTTTTTGATCTCTACCTTATTTAATTACTAAGAGATTGTTTGGTCATGGTTTTATGAGATAAATCTTGAGGTCTGTAGTAACAAATTTCTTGTAGTGACTGACCAGGACACTCACCTTTTTTGCTATTTTTCAAACCCAGAATTAGTTTTAATGATGTTATTATTCTTGGAAGGACAGTGTTAATTTTGTGGGGGAGATGATTTTTATTTTGATTACCTAAAGTTATTAACAAAGTGAAAACAATTGACATTATAGTGAGCTAAAGCTCAGATACCTCCAGTTCATATTTACACAAAGAAAAGAAAGGAGAAACTCATTGTATTATAAATAAGGTAGAGTTGAATTACTTACAAATAATAAATTTTACTACAAATCATTAGATATGGAAGAAATTCTGAAAGCTAAAAGTTAGCTTTTATTGTTAACTATATCAAAGTAGTTTTGCAATTGGTGTAGTTTAAAATTACTTAGAATCCATTGTCTAACTTATGAAGTAAAATATTAAAATAATATGAAGGGAAGATTAACTGCATATCTAGATCAAGTTAAGTTAGATGGAAGCTAGCAAAAGCAAAGCTTTATACAATGAGGAAGTTATTGACCTACCTGTATACTTTAAATACACCACAAGCTGTTTTTAGTCAACAGATGTTTATTCATTTTTAGAATTAGTTTAAATTTTTATGATTATTTAATTATGTTGGTATTTTTACAATATATTTTAAAAATTTCTTTTTAGCAACTTCTGATGGTACAAAGAAAAGTTTGGATTACACAGTTGGCTTGACTGAAACAAAACATATGCAGTTTTCTGTGAGTTTGCGTTCTGAGGAAAATCTTGAGTGTAGACACAGAGTTAATTGTAAGTCAGTGTTGACATACAAAATGTAGTAGAAATTTTTTTTTTTAATTGTTATACTGTTTTTATCACTCAATTTTATTTGTTTTATTGATTATATTTGTTTTAAATTTGTTTTAAAATTAAATTATTTCAATTTTATTTTATTGATTTATTTGTTAAGGGATTAGCCCAGTTGAGTTCATTGACTATCTAGTGGACAGTGGAGTGTACATTCATTGACTATCTAGTGGACAGTGGAATGTACATTCATTAACTATCTAGGGATAGTGGACAGTGGAGTGTACATTCATTAACTATCTAGGGATAGTTGACAGTGGAGTGGATATTCATTGACTATCTAGGAATAGAGGACAATTTGAGTGTACATTCATTGACTATCTAGGAATAGTGGACAGTAGAGTGTACATTTATTGACTGACTAACTAGGGATAGTAGACAGTGGAGTGTACATTTATTAACTGATATCTTGAAATAGGCACAAACATACATCAACTCGGTCAAGAACATGATGTTGAGAACCAAAGTTTTGTGGTTCTTCCAGTTTCTTTTCAGTAAAATATTTTTGTAACTGACTGACAATCCTATTTCTTCTTTCAGTGTTTACATTCATAGTGTCTGCTACAATCATCTTTATACTTTTCTATAAACTGTACTCATTGAGAATAGCTGTTATATCTTTAACAATAGTATCTGCTTTTCCTTCTGATAGATCCTAGGCTTCTAACTTTTTTAATAGTTAAGTTTAATAGTTGTAGCTTCTTTAATAGTTGATTTGAATATATCAGATTGTAATAGTGCCTGAATGTTGATCGCATCTTGAGATAACTGTCGACAAATGGTTGCTGCTTTGCTGGTTGATAACTTTGAAGGTGTTACTAAATTGGTTGCAGTTTTGGTTTTGCTGTAGTTCTTGCTGGTACTTGTGGACTGTTCTTCTGAATCTTCAGATTGAGAACAACAGTCTGCTGTTGCTGTTACTGTTGTTAAAATAGGCTTTAAGGGCATTTTTTTATTTATTATGGATAGATAGTTTTTGAACTAGCCTCCTTCAAAGTTGTATATCCAACCTGTCTTTTGCTTTCAAGTTGAAGATGATACAATCTTTTGTCCTCACTGCAGAGCCATTTAACATCTTTTTTTGTGATGTCAAAAACTTCATTTAATGGATAGCATTTTCTTTGTTTTACACATTTTTTGTATGTCTTCAGCACTTGCCTTGATAAATGTGGAAAATTTAATTTCTTTTGCCATAAACTTGTTCCTTCTTTCTCAATTTGCTTTATGTGCTTATCCCTTTGATGGATTCTCCTAGGAACAGATAGCAACCAACAATTTGGATTTTGAGTGGTATCTTGCTGTTATTTTCCATTGATTGTTCTTCTAGTGGAACAGTTCCTATTTCTTATGATTGAAGTATTATGCTTGAATATATTTCTCAAAGGCAATCGTAATACATTCAAGTGCTCATATACTTCTATATAATTTGACTGTCATCTGGCGAATACAGGTTCATATATGATTATTAACGTGGCTCAATTCAACCCTAATGTATATGTGAACTTTTAGAATAGCTTCTATTCTTCTCAGCATTGATGCAACAAGGCTCATAATATTGGGATTTTATTTTATGACACAATGTTTTCTTCAATAAAAACATTAATTGCATTTTCTAAGAACGATGTCTAGACAAATTTTGCCTCATGACAAGTTCCCCTGTTGTACATGAAAATATCAAAATTTCTAATTCGAAACCATTTAGACACAATCTTTATCAAAATTTCTAAATAATTTGTAGGATTGACAGTCTTATCCTGTTGTAAAAGGTGTAAACCAGCTTGACCATTGGCAGTGATTGCCTCCTAAACCATCATTGCTGGACATTGTTTAATAGAAGGTGCAACATATCAGGGATTCAAGTCTGACTTTGTTGGCCAGCAAACATTGACTTGGTGTGCTGTAAATGTGTACTTCATCTGAGAACATGACACAATATTACAGTTTAAAATTCTATTTCTTGTGTTTATTTTTGTGTCGTTTTAATGCACCACAGAACAGTTAAAGATAAAAATCCTTAGCAATCACTCTTGCAGTTGAGGCAGTTGAGTAATTTTGTATTAATAAGCTTAAAATTTGTATGTCCTTTACAGCCAAACAATGTATCATGTTGTCGGTTTGTGGAATTCTTATTCTTTCTACAGGATTTTCCTGGATTGATGCTATCTGTTGACTTGAGGCAATACCTTGAACAGCTGTCTTTAGCATCTTATAACAATCATTTGTTCAGACTGTTTTCATTTAAAAGTTATATTTGTGCATGTTTAATTATGTTGTAGCCATACTCTACAACTATAATGATTGAATTACGCATGGTTTTAATGTGTATATTAATGTGTAATTATTGTTTGATAACTATGCAATTACTTTTAGTGTTTAGTGTGTTACTGGTGCTTAATAGTTATGAGTGGTTGGATCTTTTTCCATAACTGTGCATGTGTTTGTGTGTGTGTGTGTGTGTGTGTGTGTGTGTGTGCGTGTGTTTGTGTGTATAAATTGCATGAGTTATATAAATAATATAATAAATATTTTTATGAAAATTTCGTTTTTCAAAATTTTATTTTTACTATAATCTTAATATTAGGATTTATATGATAAACATAATATATAAAATTATATAAAATAAATTAAATATTAATTTTAAGTATGTCTGCAAGATAATTCTGGTAATCCTACAGCTATTCCACTTAGGAGCGAGCAAGAAAATACATTTGCACATAGTGTCAAACATCCAATGGTTTTATTATTGTTGTTTGGATTGTTAGTCTTTGGCGTTGTGATTGGCATGGTTGCGTCAATATATTTCACACAATTTTTCAGAAAAAAAAGTAAAATTTTATTTTACTAAGTTTGATATCATTGTATCTATTTGTTTGAATTTTTACTATATCATCATTACTATCTTTACTATAACAAAATTACTATTTTTATTATATTATTATTACTATTTTTTATATATTATTATTACTATTTTAACTAAATTATTATTATTATCTTTTCTACATGGTGTACAATTCCCCCCCCCCCTCATATTGTATTACAACAAATGGATGTATTAAGTATTACAAAAAGTGTATACAGCAATGGGTGGTGATTATTACTGGAAAAAGATCTATTTACAAAGCTGCCCTGACTGATTAAGTAAAATTTACCTTGCTCAGTATGCTGTTTCCATACAAGATGGATTATTTAAGATGTCATCAATAGGGAGTTCAACAATGTCTGGACTGATTGGCCAGGGATTTCATCAGACATTAATTGCATTGAGCATGTGTGGGCAAGGCTTCAGAACAGCATTTTTAAAAATCCTAGACTCCAACTGACTGCCAACCAACTCCTCACAAGAATTCAAAAAGAATGGTCTTCCATCACCCAGGAAGTATGCTATTCACTTATTGAAAGTTTTCACGGCAGAATTTGTTCACAAAATTTTTTAGAACATTGTTCTAAAGATTTCGTGAAAAAATGAATAAAAAATATTAACTAACAACTGAGTTACAGTCATTTATAAAAAGACTCTAGGGAGGGGGGGGGTCAGAAATTATTTGTACACCCTGTACATCATTATTACTTTCTTACTATATTATAGTTACTAATTTTTTAATATTATTATTACTTTTTTTTTTTTATTATACTATTTTTAATAGATTATTAATATTATCTTTACTATATCACTATTACTATCTTACTGTATTATTTTTACTATTTTTACTATATTGGCATATAGTAAATATATGCTATATATCTCTTCTAAACCACCAGCTAATCCGATTTTATCTCAAATATAACAAAACTTACAAAACTATTTTTCCACCACTATTTATCACAATCTCTTTTTTAATTTTTCCTGATTCTACAGGCTTGGTCGAGAAGCGGGAGCGATCGCTCTCGATTGCTGACCACGTAAATAATATTTAGTTGCGAAAAGCTGGCCAGATTTTTTAGTCATTTTGAGAACATTTTAAAAGCAAAAAAAAAAAAGCGCAAAAGATTAATTGGACCAATGAGAGACAATTACAAAAAAAAAAAGAAAAATTAGGCAAATAAAATATCTTTAAACGCGAAAAACTTAAAGCTAAATAAATTACGTTTAAAACAAATATTTTCGAAACATCGCTCTTTTATAATTTTTTTAATAAAATTAAGCGATATTTTTTATATAAAGTAACAAATATTCTTTATTTAACAAAGTTTGCAAGTTTTAGTTTTATTTAAGCTAAATTGTTTTATGAATAAAAAAGTTAATTTTTTCAATACCTATTTTATGTTTCGCGTAGTTTGAAAAGTTTAACATATTTGAAGCAATTCTTCTTAGTAAGATAAACAAATGAAATAATTAAATCATTGAATTACTATAGAAATTAAATTAACTAGATAGAAATCAACTAAAAAGGTTAAAAATACTTTATGACGAGGAAGCAAAACTGCTTCACAATATCGCTGATGATGTTTAGTGAGTGGGGTTTTTTAATTTTAATTAGTATTTAAAGCAGAAAAAGTATAGCGAGTTTTAAGAATGGCAACTTAAGCGAAAATAATTAGAGTTAGTAAACCAATATATAAAAACTTTTCTTTATATCTAATTATTTGCTATATATATTTGTGTTCTGTCGTGACCTCAGGCGCGGTGCTTGTTCATCCGCGAGTTACTTTGTATGCGTTGTTTGTGTTTAGTAACCAGAAACTTCTTATATGTTTGTTACATAATTAGTTTTATTTACTATGATGGTTATAACTTCATTGAAAACGCAATTATTTTTGTAAGTCTTTGTTTAAATCATATAAATTGCTTTAAAAGATACATTACGATAAAAACAGATACACAAAATTACATTTACATAAAGAATACATACTTTTTAAATAAAATATAAGAATATACTAATAAAATCTATAATTTATAATAAAATTTTAAAATTTTGACAATTTAATATATATTTAAAATATTTATTTTTGTAAACAAATAATATATATTCTTAAAACAATTTATGCTAGAAATCTCAAAACGTAACAAATCATAAATAATACAATTTCTAAAACATTTCAACAGAATACTCTAGAACTTTATTTCACTAAGTTAGCGTATTTTTAGAACGAATAGAATTAGTTTCTTCGTTAATTTGGCGGGTTTTTAGTGTTCGCGAATATTCTTTTTATTCTTTCGCACAAAAATGTTTTTATTTATTTAATTTATAACACATACAATACAGCTAAGTACTAATGTAAAGTAAAAATGTTTTTGGAACATTCAAGTTTATTATGTTTCCATGTATGTCCGTAAAACAAAAAATTTTTGTTTCGTATATAAACTTAAATGTTCTCAAAACGACTAAAAAACTTGGCCAGTTGTTCGCAACTAAATATAATTTCCGTGGTCAGTATTTGAGAGCGATCGCTTTTGCTTCCCAACCAAGCCTGATTCTATATAAGTTCATTTTCTACACTCAAAAATAGGAATATTAAAAGTACCTTGTATTTGTTTTAGATTAGGTTAGATTAGTACATTGTATTTGTTTTAGATTAGGTTTAGATCAAGTACTTGAATCTTCACCCAAAAAGCTATTGAAATAGTTTGGGTTTATAGAGTTACCCATTTACACATATTGAGTAAACAATTTACATTAAGATCATACAATATTTTTGTATTTAAATAAAGTAGATTCGTAATTAAAATGTAAAAATGTTTAGTACATTTTTAGAAGGATCGGTTTCAACATCATCATTTGGTGATGATTACTGTGCAAATACTTCGAATCTTCTTTCAAAACCAGCAGGCAAGTATACACTTTCATCCTGAGTACATTTATTTGTTACCACATTACTATTTTTTATTTACTTTTTCACCACCAAAAATATATTTTTTTTCACAATTTCACTCAAACAAATAAAATAAAAAGAGTTAAAAAAACCTTTTTTCAATCCTTTACCACCGTTAAAAAAAAACTTACTACCTTTTAAACCTTACTATCTTTTTTAACACTTAATTTATTAATTTATTTAATGTCATATAAAACCCAAACCGACAAACCATACAGAGAAGCCAGTCAAATAAAAATGTTTCACAGAAGATTAAATAGTGGTGGAACAAAAGATAATTGAGCATCATAAGAAGCAACAGGAAATGAGTAGCATGATAAAGTTATGCAACTTTAACATATTTAAAATTTCAACATCAAATTGAAATTTAATTATATATATATATATATATATATATATATATATATATATATATATATATATATATATATATATATATATATATAATATATATATATATATATATATATATATATATATATATATATATATATATATATATATATATATATATATATATATATATATATATATATATATATATATATATATAAAAGACTTGTGGAGCCGACTGTTTTTTTTACAACTCTGCAAAGAAATATTTGGCTCCGGATCGGCTCTGGCTCCCGAACTTTATGAACAAAAATTGCAAGTTATGGAAATTTTTTTGATCACATTTGCCAACCTATAACTATACCAACTACAGCAATTAATTTTTAATCAATTCTCATGATTACACGGTTATTGTATTAATATCACTACTCTACTCTACTACCGGATATTACATTTAAGAAGAAAAATGTTTTGGGTAAACACTTTTTTCTATATATTATTTACCCAAAACTAGAGTTTTTAGTCCGAATTTTAATTCTAATTCTAACCAGGGGGCACATACCTAAAAAAGACATATTTTGAATGTTCCAAAGATGTCCAAAACGTTCAAAAGGCATTCAAAACTTTAAAAAGACGTTTAAAAGATCTCTTTTGTATGTCCCGTGCCCACTGGATAAAACATGCAATCGTTAAATTCAAAGCGATAAAAAATTAAAAAAAAAAAAAAAAAACAATTTAACTAATGCAAAAACTTCAATATTTATTTTAATCTAAGGAATTTGAAGGTTATAAAAGTACTTTTTATTTTAATATTTTTCATTATTTTGAATAGCGAACATTTACGCTAATTGACGACATCAACTTCTGCACAGTGTCTTTTAAAATTTTTTTCCCTACTAATGCTCACTTTTTTTCAAAATCAAATCTTTAGCTGTACTTATTGTTTTGCCACTCTTACGCAAATATCCTTTGCCAATTCCCCAAAATTTCTCAATAGGACGGACCTGTGTGCAGATTAATGGATTCAAGCTTTTTGGTATAAATTTGATGTCTCTCGAATTGTACCAATTTTCTTAGATTAATGACAAGAAGCAAGATTAGGCCAGAAATAACAAAAGACATCCTGATTTCGATAAATTTGCAAAAGTCTAGCTTGTAAGTATTCTTTAATGTAAACATCCGAGTTTAAAATTGACAATGTGACAAAAGCTTGAGATCTCAACCACAGCTGCATATTGCTTGCCAAAATTTAATCTTTAAGAAACTCTGAAACTTTATACCTTTTGGCTTGTTCTTTGTTCGATAAGCTGGGATTTTGATTGATGATTGTCGAATACTAATTGTTGCTTTCTTATCCTTAAACTTTCTTCAAGATCCTTTTGCTTGTTCGATAGATAGAGAGCTCATGTATTGTTTTATGATCATACAAACAGCAGTTTTGCTAGATTCAGATGCTTTAGCGATTGAAAGTAACAATACAAAAGAATTTGGTAGATTGGTGTGCAGACTTTTTTTTCGTTTTTTTAAACTGTTTCAATGACAATTAGGTTAATAGAAACATTTTGACTCGTTTTTTTAGTGAGTTGATGTTTTCAATTAATACCATAATTACTTTAAGAAATGTGTTGGTGACAAGTTTTAAAACAAAATTCATCATTCCAAGTTTAACGATCGCATTTAATATAGTTTTAAAGATATGAATAACCTTCGATCATTAAATCGTGCATCAAATATTTAACAGGGTAGTATCAGTTTAGAAATATGATATAAGGCAATATATGTAATGCCGTAATGTTTCCATATATAATTTACTTTTTTTTTTTAATAAAGCATATTAAAAAGTACTATTAAAAAATAGTATTTTGTTGAGTACAAAATTGTTAATAAAATCATTTTTATTACGTTTTGGCAAGACACTAACTATTAGAAAAAAAATTAAAAAAAAATAGAAATTTAATAAACAAATAAAGTTTGTCTAGAGTAAAAATATATATAAATATATACATTCTATTCCTTTACATTCTGTTTACATGCATTCTATTCCTTTAAAAAAAACACGAGAGCCGAGAGCCGCTCGATTTTTGCGGCTCTGTTCTAAATAATTTAGAACATTATTTATTGAAATAACGCTTTTTAAAAAAAACTAAATTTATGAAGTTATTGCCAAAAATCTAATTTTTTTATATTTTTTTAGTTGAAAAAGTGTCATATTAAAAAACATGACAACAGATACTTTCAATAAATTACATCTATGTTCAAACTATCAAGATACAAAATCTTTACAGTTGTTGTGATTGTTATATAAAAAACACAACAAAGTATGCAAAATCATAACTTAAAATCACTTTTTGATGTGAAATTTCATGGACCTAATTATGTTTGTAATAACTCCATCTCTGCAATCATGTCCAACTACAGACGCTTCTTTAAATTTTTTAAAAGCCTTTCAACATTTTAACTTAAGTGGTTTTTCAATAAATTCAAGTATTTTATCTTCTTCAATCAGTTTCAAAACCGATGGAATTGTGTGCCATTGGGAAATTGGAATCATTTTGTAATAACAAACACCTTTGAAATTATTTTTTGGGTTTTAAAAGCATTCTTACATCATCATTCATTGAGGAGTAATCACTTTCCCTAATATTGGCTTTATTGTCATTGTCACTTTTAACTCCAACAAAATTATCTTCTTCACCATGAAGTTTTCTATGAGGGCTTTTAAATACAAAATCTAATTAACCGCTTTCTTTCTGATCTCTTCATCCTTGTCGGCTAACATTCTAATTAAAATATTTTCATCATGAGAAAACTGTTATCTATAACTTTGAAACAAATTTTCTTAGCGTTTGAATCAGGAAATTTATTGGTTCTTTAAATCACATTAAATAGGTTGGTTGAACTGTCAATTAAATACTTATTATTCCTAATGTCAAACCAACTAGGAAAACTCACTTTTACCAATTATAAATTCTGCAATAACCTTTATATTTATAGTTGGTTTGGAAATAGATTCATAATATTACAAGATTGCATGCTAAAGCTAGCCAACAAAAATGGTTCATAGGTCCAACTTTAAAAAAAGCCAAATCTATGTTTCCTGTGATTACACCCCAGCGATGAGATAAACATAGGATTGGTAAGTAGATAATTCATCAATAAATATATTGTCTAGTATATCAAATTTTTTGATTTTGAATCGGCCTAAACTTAGCAAAACCCAATTTGGAAACATTGCCATTAAGTCATAGCTTAATGGCTCCAGTAAATTTTTTTGACCCTTTAGTAGCTCTATCAATTTCTATATATGTATATATATATATATATATATATATATATATATACATATATATATATATATATATATATATATATATATATATATATATAAATATGTATATATAAATATGTATATATATATATAAGCTAATTTAAAACATCAGATTATACAAATTCTCTCAATACTAAATAATTTATTTGAAATTTTCGCCGGATTATAGGCAACCGGCATCATCAGCATATAATATAATATAATTACAAAAATTGTGACCTTTAAATAACAACAAAAAATTTTTTAAATTTTGATATCACCTTTATAATCGCTTCTTTTACCTAAGTATGAAAAAAATGAAGTCCAAAAATTTGTTTTTAAATATTGTCCATTGTCCAAATTCATACCACCGTACGTTGGAGAACATTGATGTTTTTGTATCTCCAAGGCTTCACGGACTTTTCTTTCAAAGTTTTTTTATCCTCGACTTATACCAACCTATACTTTGGAGCATTTGCACTTAACTAAATAGGTTCCTGGGGTGCTGTTGCGGGGTAATTTAGACTAATTTTTAGACGTTTATAGCGTTTTTAGGTTAGCATTTGATTTAAAAACAGTTCTGTAACCAGCTTTTCTGAATATTCTTCTAAGTCTGGGAACTGAATATTCTGAATATTCTACTAAGTCTTATAACCAATATCCAAATCAAACCTCATTCTAATCACGATCCCAAAATTTTAAAAGCAATATTCAACGGATTCATATACAGAGCATACTCAATATGCAGCGAAAACCATTTAAAAGATGAGATAAATTTTTAATTCAAGTGTTTACTGAAAATGGATACGATGAAAAAATGCTTAAAGATATTTCTTATCATGTTGAAAAAAAAACGTTTTTCGAACAAAAATGAAATTCCATTAAACTCTAATAACCTTCCTACAATCTCTTTACCATGGATACCAATAATATCTCCCAGACTTAGGAGAATATTCAGAAAAGCTGGTTACAGAACTGTTTATAAATCAAATGCTTACCTAAAAACGCTATTAACGTCTAAAAATAAGTCTAAATTACCACGCAACAGCACCCCAGGAACCTATTTAGTTAAGTGCAAATGCTCCAAAGTATATGTTGGTGAAACAAAACTTCAAATACAAACAAGAGTTCAACAACACCAAAATTTTTTGACTGAAGGCAAGTTAAACCAGTCTGCATTAGCTTTGCATAAAGTAAATTGTAATGAGGACATTGAATGGAATAAAGTAATTACACTTAAAGTTGAGGATAAAAACTTTGAAAGAAAAGTCCGTGATCCTTAGAGATACAAAAACATCAATGAATTTGCTCTTAATTAAAGTCTCTCTATATATTTGACTTTTTTTTCTACATATATTTATTTAGATGAAAACGTTTTCAATAGTAATTTTTATAGAAATAATAGTTTATATAGAAATTCCTTTAAAATTTCTATAGACCATATGTTTCAAAATTTATAGATATTCTGTTGAATCTTTTTTCCTGGATTCATTTATCAATAAATGCTAATAAGTATTGCGGGGTTTTAAAAGATAAAATGTGTAATTTTTTTTCACTTTTTTTATATTTAATTTTTTTAAAAATAGTATGAAAACATTTTTTTCTCCTTTAGCTCCAACTTTAGATTATCTATAATCAAGACGAAGTGCAATTTTTTTTTTCATAAAATATTTTTCAGTCTTAGTTAATAAGTTTGGCTATTTTCAAAGTTCAACTGGTGCTGGAGCACCAGTTTAGGAAGGACAAATTTAGCAACGAACGGGTCCCCGGTTAATTATTTTGTTACATGTTTGAAGTCACAAGTGTTATTTAATTGATGTTATTTATTTCAGGTCAAAAGTGTTAATCTTATATGTGAATCTATCCTTAAAGATCTATGGTCAATATGAAAGGCGAGATTTATTAAAGATTATAAAATTAAATCAGAACTTCTAAAAGATATTCTAAAAAATATTCAAGATCTTAAACTTTTTTTTTTCTTAAAAAAAGACAATTTTCTTAGTTTAGTGTAGTTTGAGTGTATTATAGTGTGTAAATATATTTTACATATTTATAATATAGTTTTAAATACGTATTATATATACATGTATTAAATATGTATTATATTTCATAACATTTTAAACAGAATAAATTTATTCAGAAAATATAATTGAATTGGTGAAAAGAAGAACAGTGGTAGTCCATTTTTTGTTATTTGCACGTTTTTTTCATAATTTCATTTAACTTTTTTCAATTTCTCTATGTAATACAAAAATAATATTAGTCCATTTTTCTTTCATTATTTTTTGCCATATTTAAACTAGTCGAAGAACAATACTTAAACATTTCGAAATGAAAATATTGAACTAGTAATGTTCTTCTTTTCACCGATTCAATTTGCATGTATGTTTTGGTTGCCATTTAAAAGAAATGATTAGTCGTGAATATTGTATAATATATACTGTAATATAATTATTCGATTATATATAATATAGTTCATTATGCATAACAATTTCGTAGGAAGACAATACAAGTCTAACTAGATTATTAAAAAAAAACTCGCATTAAACCATTTTTATTTTTTAATTGAAGAATTTTTGTCATAAGTTTAAAATTTTAATTTTTGTTTATAAATTCTCGATAAATTCATAACTCATCGTTAAAAAATAAAAATAATAAATGCATCATGTAAACCTTTCTATTTCGATTTCTTTTCTTCCTGTATTTATATAGTTATAGAAGAGTTATAAGTATTGCTTATAGAATTTATTATATTTGTAAGAATTCAATTTACTTGAGTACCATAATTTACGAAAATTCACCACTAATAGCATCAATTCACCATTAATAGCATTAATTCAGCAAATTAGTATTATAATGATTATAGAACAGAAATATAATTATAATAATTATAGAACGGAAATAAACTAATTTATCTTACAAATAGAAAAAATTGTAAATAAAATAAATATAAATGTTTACACTTTTTTATAAAACAGCATTTGCTTTTTAATATACAACGATTTTTATAAGCTTGTTAGTTTGCCTAGATTTAAAAGAACTTGAAGTATGAGTAATTTTACTCCCTTTTTTCTCTACAGCAACGGAGAGCTTAATTGAAACCCTTTTTATTTAACGAATTTTAACACTTAAAATGGCGGTATTTACTTTGTAAATAATTTAGGTAATTATAAAGTTCGTATCAAGGTATTTTCTATTGAATTGAAAAACTTCGGCAAACTCTTATACTTCATCCTGTTCACTTAAATTAACTTAGTAACCCTTTTTTTTTTTTTGAAATCTTAAATCTTTTTTTGAAATCACTCGTTTAAGTCAGGTAAATTATTTTTTTGAAATCACTTTTAAATTTTTTGGAAAAAATCAACTTAGTTACTCTTTTTTTCGAAATTTTTTTTTTTAAATATATATTACTTTTTAATCAAGAATTGTTAAAAACTGTGTAACATAAGGTACTTTTTTTAAAATGTTTTTCAATACTTTCAATTAAAAAAAATCTTTAAATGAAAAAAATTTCACTTTCAAATAACAAAAAATTCTACTTTCACGTCAATAATAAGGATGAATAAAGTTTTTAGTTTTTATTTTCAGTTCCTTAGAAACAAAATTAAATACCTTCTTCTTAGCGCCAACTTGTCTAAACAAATATGCGCAGTCGAAAATAAAAAAACGGTAAAAGTTATATAACCATCAGGTATAAACACGTGATACGCCAATACTAAAGTCATTTACTAAATTTAAATTACTAGAGTCTTAATTCTAAAGTCTTTAAAAAAAATTTAATTTTGTTGTTAAAAGTTAATTTTACGCGTACCAAAGATACGAAGAAGAATAAACTAAATGTGTATATATCATGTTTGTTGATGACACTGTAAAACTACTGACATAGGACTTATTCTACGCAACTGTGGTTTTTGAAAACCCCCTCATCTCTCTTTGTGCGTACGCCTTATTTATTACATAATCAATTTCCTTCTTGTACAATTTTTTTAAAACATTAAAAACCATAAACTTTCAATTAATTCGACATATCTATGTTAAATAACAATATTTATTTTTTAATTTCGCGAAATTCTATGTTTAAAATTATATTTAAAAAAAAAAAAAAAAAGTTTTAGGAGAGATAAAAAGCAAACGTATTTTATGGAAAACTCCTACTCTAAATGAAGAACCTAGAATAATAGTCAATTGATTTAAATTCGTTAAACAGAATTGAAAAGAATACATTCCGTTTTATCCAGACTCAGAAAAGCTCATTTTCTCACATATTTTATTGACAGTACAGGTAGACGGGCCCCAAAAACTCACGGACCCCAAAAGCCACATGCTCACATTAGTACCTGTTATTCATAGATTAAGCCCTATCAAGGAGCAAAACAAATTTTTTTATTTGACAAAATAGTTTTTTGAAAGGAAAATGTTAAAAATAAGAAAATTACTCTAATATTTTGAAAACTATTCACAAAACACTTGAATTTTTTTTTTTAATTGTGTGACTTTTTGACATAATAGTCTATAAAAACTTGAAATTTTCATTTAAGTTTGCAAAGTAAAGTTTTTTGTAAAGATTTTAAGACATACTTCTGCAAATAAATCAATAAAAAATATATAAAAATGACAGTTGCTAAAATAACTCAACTCAACTAATGAGTATTTATGTGTGGTTTTTGGGGTCCCTTAACAAAAAAAAATATATATGGATCTAAAACTCAACATTAAATTGCATTTTTTCTTTTTTCTATTAATAACTATTTAACAATCAAATAAAAGATTGACAAGTTGTTTGTAAAAAATATTAACTATTGACTCTTAAATAAGTTGATAAACTAATTGACTATAAATAATGAAATTATCTTCATACCACTTATTTTTATATGGACATAAGAACTGTAAAGTCAGTTTATTGGTGTATCCTTCAAACTGCTAGCATCTTCATCACTTTCATTCTCAATAACCTTACGTTTGAGTGAGTTGTTGGTTGGTACAGCAGCTAAAAACATTATCGGTTTCTTCTCATCCACTTTACAAGATAACTTTCCGCAGACTGATCTTTGAACATTGTGGCAAGAAGAGCATTGCTGTAGTTTTATGGCATGGCACACACTTTCTCCACAGTTGCATTCATTTTTACACCGTAAAAATGCTTTTTTTTGTTTCTCTTTGTTCCATCTTCTTTCTTCCTTATCTTTTATTTCTTGATTTTTATTATCTTGAATTACCTTGTCCAACACATTTTTTCCTTTCATTGATCCGTGAACCTGCATAACCCTTGTAGTAAGTTTGGAAATTTTTGGCTTAACTTTCTGCACTGTCAGTAAACCAGGAATTTCTTCAAGTCGAATGCTTTTTTCGCTTAGCTCTTGAATTAGCTCTTGCGAACGTTCAAATTTTTTTTTCCAATACTGAGCTGAATTTTTTCTTTTATCAGGAGAATTAATAGTATATCTTCCAGGAATTGTTGTACTGAGTGTAACACCTTTTGGATTATCAATACATAAAGCAGCTCGTGCAAACTTGTCCTGCTGCATATCGTTAACATTTAATAATGTGGAAGTTACTCCCACACGTCTTGCAGCTTTGATTATAGATTGTCTTGGGGCTCAGTTGTTCCAAATACGTCCTAAAATCATCATAAAAGCTTCTTTATTTAGTGAATTGGAATCGGTAAAAACGTTTTTTTATACCACAATACTCGTGATGAAGGTTTTTATTGAGTTGATCTAAAAGCTGTGTCACACCAGTGGTATCTGATGGAGTTAAGAACATACGTATGTTTTTTGACTGTAAAAACTTTAAGACATCAAAATTAAAGCGTGAACAATGCCCATCAGAAAGCAAAACTACTGGTCGTGCAACTTTTTTTTCAGTAAGATATTCATCAAACTCTTTATACATATCTAATAACGAATTGTGATCAGAAACACCATGACTGCACGTTATTAGAAGATGCGGAATATTTGCCACAGCTTGCTGTGGAGCCATTTGATTAGCTATTCCAACAGTACCAAAGAGTACTTGACAGACACAAAGGTCTCCTAAAATTACAAAGAAATATTATACAACACCACCCTTTCAATCTATATTATAAATATTTATCAAAAAAGTGATACGGAAATAGCTACCTGAAAATGATACTAGAGGATGAATGATGACACATGCACGGCTCTCTCTTATCATTTTACAACATGTTTCCCCTTTTGCAGCAAAAACAAGACCAGCAGGAGTACCATCAACACCAAAATTTATAAACTGTGGTGTTTCATCGTGATTAAATAATCTGCATAGATCAATATTTCCAGACCAAACTCCTGTCTCCTTTTGGGCTGCTTCAGTCATAATGCCAGCCTCGATCAATTCCTCTGCAAGACTGTCTAAAGACAACCATGACAAACAATCAGTAACTCAGTTTTGCTAGAACTATTTTCATGAATGTAAAGTAAGAATTCATAAACTGATAACAAGGCGTAGCTCTGGGTTAAATTTTAAATAAAGCATATGTATACTATGAAATATAATAACTCAATATTTACTCATACCAAGGTGGGAACATGCCATTTCCCTTGTGCAATTGAGAGCTATTTATTGATACGTTTCCTTGTCGCTTGACTGTTAAGCTTGGATTCTTAGCTATAAAGCGCATCCAGAACGATTTACCTAATCTGCGTTTAAATAAAAATAAAAAATAAAAAATTAACAAGTTAAACTAAAAAACTTCAAGCAATCAATTTATATCTTAGTATGTTGCCTTTAACTACCTTTTAAATATATATATATATATATATATATATATATATATATATATATATATATATATATATATATATATATATATATATATAAACATAATTACATGTTTTTTTTCAAAGCGTTGTTTGCATTTGCTGATAATGCTGTGAATTTTCTCCCACCTTTCAATCTTTTATTTGTGTATTGTCTAACTTTCAGAACATCAAGGACAAGTTTTGTTAGTTCTACTTTGTTTATGCCCTGCATTGCTCAATTTTTTGAGCAATGCAGGTCTTCTTCCTCCAAAAGAATTGCGCAGTACTGCCTTTCAAGACCATTGACTATTTTCCCATCAAATCTACGGTTTATAGTTTCACGATCTTTAATAAGTGGGAATTGTCGAGTTTTAATTGCAGCATGTCCTCTTACATTATTTTCTTTACACCATTGAACAGCAGCTTCAAGTTGTTTGTTTTTTTCTAATGTAGCTTTTCTCTTTATAAGTGTTTCAGCATTAGAACTTGGGTTTAGAGATTTCATCTGCAAGCGAGTTTTGAACTTTTTGCTGCTGTTACTCATGCTTATTTATTTTCTTAAAAACAAAAAATCGAAAATCACATAAACTTAACTAAAACTATCCTCTACGCTAGAGCGTTAAATAAAATCATTTTATAAATTTAGTATAAACATAACGATATCTACAACTATTACAAATCTACTCTAAATCTTGAGGTTTTGTAATATTACTTAGATTTTTGTAAAAACTAAAATAACTCATGTGGTTTTTGGGGTCCCAACCATGCGGTTTTTGTAGCGCCTCAGGTACTTCCATAAAATATAAGTTTGCAATCAAAATACTATACGAAGGGGAATTTAATATAACAAACTTATTCAAAATATGGGAAAGTTAAAACTAATTTCAAAAAAGTTACACACGATTTAAGCCATGTGGTTTTTGAGGTCCCATACTAAAATATAGCAAAACTTTACATTGAAAAAAAAAAGTAAAAAAAAAAATATATTTACCCCTGGGAAGAACTTTTACTATATAAAAGAATATAAAAAAGAAAAAAAAAGTTAAGTTTTTTGTTTTGTACAAAAGATATGACAAAAGAAAAAATCTTGTGGTTTTTGGGCCCGTCTACCTGTATCGAAATAAAATAATATTATCTTCAAAATTTTCAGGTGTTTTTCTTGATGAAAGTATTACATGGATTGACTATATTAGCTCAAAAGCATTAAAATTTTATATCAAGCTAGAGCATATCTATGTAAAAAAAAAGTTTACCCTAACTTTATTGCTGATTTATCCAAAATAATTAATCCTAATATTGCATGGGAGCAAATTCAGAAAAAGTATAAAAATATGTATATCACCGGCAACAATTGTTATACAACAAAAACACAAAATTGAGGAGTGGATTTGCAAAATCAGATAATTTAATCTCAATGAAGATTAAATTTAAAAGCAACTATTATAATTACACTTGACCTACTTAAAATTATGTTGTCCGTGTAAAATAAGATAAATTTTTTTTTTTGTCCATCCAAAATAAGACAAATATTTATCCAATCAATATTCAGTTTTATAACGTTTTATAAAAATGGCGAATCTTATTTCCGCAGAAGATGTTGTAAACTTTCTAAATGAAAACAAAACAAGAAATGAATTTGATGGAACAATGATAATTCAAAAATCCAACAATAGCGCAAGGACACAAATGCCAAAAGTATCCTATGATTCCACAAAGTATCCTATGATATCCACAAATGCCAAAAGTATCCTTTGATTTTTAATGTCCTTAAAAATCAAAGATAGATTAATTTTAGTTTAATTTTTTGAATACGTCACGCTATGAGTACATATGTATAAAGTTTTATATATATATATATATATATATATATATATATATATATATATATATATATATATATATATATATATTCAAATAAAAAAACTGTTTTATTTTCTTCGGCTTTTTTAAAACACTTATCAATAACCACAATGTGCAGTATTTTTACAGAAAAATCTGTTATTAAGTTCCTAGTTTTTTAAGTTAAATTAGTTGTAATTTTTTTTTTACCTTTATCAATACTATAAAGGTATCAAACAATATTATTTCGAGGTCTCTCCAAGGACCAGGGGATTTTTCAACACTCTGTCTTATACCGATTTTACCCTTCTTGCCGGTGTCACGAAATAAATGTTCCCCATTATAGAATTTCCCCCCGGCCGAAATATTCTTTCCATGGGGAAAATTCATTTCGAAATAGCATTTCCCCCCTCGTAATATCTTTTCCCCTATCTGCGAAATAAAGTTTCCTCCGTGACATAGGTTCCCCTAAATACTTAAATATACAAATTGATATGACTTGCGCAATTAAATGCGCAAAACAAAATGATCTAAATTTTAAACGCTAAATTCGGTTTAAATACTAAATTAACTAAATGATTCTACATTAAAAAAATAAAGTTTTACTTGAATCAAACGCTTAAATCATAAAAAAAAAGTGTCAGATAAAGTTTTTTTACGCGGTTTTTTCATTACAGTCGCAAACAAACTACTAAAAATTATTTGTTTGATTGTTAGCAAAATAACTACGTGCAAGTTTAGAACGTTTTTGAATGTTTTGAAAAGCTCTTTAGTTTTCGAATTTTTGTGTGGGTCTTTTATGATTATGTTATTGAAATCTGTATAAGTTTTTTGTTACGATTAATTAAATAATCATTTTTATGAAAAAACTTTTATTTTATATTTATTATAGTTATTTGCTTTCAGTAACGAACAAGAATACTTTCGAATGTCTTTTATTCAACTAGTTATACAGAAGTACAAACAAATATTTGTATGTTTGTAAACATACAAGTATTGCATGTTTGTAAACACACAAATATTGCATGTTTGTAAACATACAAGTATTGCATGTTTGTAAACACACAAATATTGCATGTTTGTAAACATACAAGTATTGCATGTTTGTAAACACACAAATATTGCATGTTTGTAAACATACAAGTATTGCATGTTTGTAAACACACAAATATTGCATGTTTGTAAACACACAAATATTGCATGTTTGTAAACATACAAATATTGCATGTTTGTAAACATACAAGTATTGCATGTTTGTAAACACACAAATATTGCATGTTTGTAAACATACAAATATTGCATGTTTGTAAACATACAAGTATTGCATGTTTGTAAACACACAAATATTGCATGTTTGTAAACACACAAATATTGCATGTTTGTAAACACACAAATATTGCATGTTTGTAAACACACAAATATTGCATGTTTGTAAACATACAAATATTGCATGTTTGTAAACATTCAAATATTGCATGTTTGTAATCATACAAATATTGCATGTTTGTAAACATACAAATATTGCATGTTTGTAAACATACAAATATTGCATGTTTGTAAACATACAAATATTGCATGTTTGTAAACATACAAATATTGCATGTTTGTAAACATACAAATATTGCATGTTTGTAAACATACAAATAAAATTTTTTATCGGGGGAACATTTATTACGGGCGGGGAAATATTTTATCCCCCCGGAATGTTTTTTCTAGAATATATTTTCCGAGGGGAAAGTTTGTCCCGGTACATACTTTCCGGGGGGAAAAAAATATGGGGGGAAAACTTGTTACGCGACACCAGCATCATGAAAATTTCAGGCATCATTTTTTTTTTACAACACAAGTATCCGTATATATTTCAATAAAACAAAATTACATATTTTTACATATAAGTACAAAACGTACAATGAAACAATTTTTGTACCATTAAAATTTTTACAAGACAAAAGAAATTCAAAATTCTGTTCAGCGCATGCGCGTTGTACAGTGTACAAAATAAGGTAACTATTCGTTGTTTATAATATAAAGTGTGCAAGTCCGTCGTAGCACAGGGCTACTAGGGACTTTCTTGTGGACGTTGTTGAATACATATATATATATATATATATATATATATATATATATATATATATATATATATATATATATATATATATATATATATATATATATATATATATAAAATTATTCTTAAGAAATATTTTTCTTTGTTGTAAGGATACTCGTAGAAGACTAAAATAGTCTTTTCATCGAGAACCTTTAAAACATAAGATAAACTTTAATGAACTGGTTCAACAAATACACATAAGTATTTTGGTATCTACTATATAGTAGAAGTAGTAGGGCGTTTTATTATTACTATTTTTCCCAAATTGTTTAATACATTTCGATGAAGTTGATTAAGTTATTTATGATATGTTTTAGTTTTTTTTTCAGAGCAATAAGGTTATCCATTTTATTAAGTTCCATATTTTGAAGTATTATTTTGTTATGTAAGTATGGGCCACGGTATATTAAAGAAAATCGCGAGAATTTTGTTTTTTTTAAAGGCAAGGCGAAGTTGCCTGTTCCTCGTGTGATATATTTGTTTGCGTTGATATGAAAAAAGCTATCAGTAAAGTATTTCGGAACAAGTCCGAGTTTGTATTTTAACATGAATAAGATATTTTGGTAAATATTTATTTAATAGATATTTAATGCATTCAAATTTTTAAGTAAAGGGTCGGCATGAGTGAATTTATCTTTATTATAAATTAATCTTGATGCATGTTTCTGATGTATGTAGAGTGAATTTAATTTAGTTTTATGGGTACTTGCCCATGCAATATTATGTTATCTTATGCGTATGTTAGGTAACTTTGAATATAAGAAAAGAAAAGAATTTTTAAATTGTCTTGGGAAAGCATAGGTTTGGCCAATTAATATTCTGGTCAATAATTATTCCAAGAAACTTAGTTATTTCAGTTCTTTTAATGTTTATATTGTCAATTTTTAGTGAAGGTAGAGTGCCTGGTATAAAGTTTTTAAGACGGTTGGGGTAAAACAAGATA